GCGAAGAAGGAGAAAAAAAAAAAAAAATCATTTTCCCTATTGGTTGGGTGATTGTTATTTTGGCTTTGTTCAGTTTGATTCTTTCTTTTGCTGGCTTCCTCAGGGTTAATGTAGCTATTCTCGGAGGGAGCTCTTGATCATCTTTTGGGTTGCTTTGTTTGGATTGCTGTGTTGGTTGGACTGAGGTGTTGGCAGTTACTTCTTCCGATTGCTTCTTTTGGGCAATTCTGCTTCTGGTTTTGTCTTCTTTGTTTGCTCTCTTTTCTTTTGTTTGTGTTTTGTATTAGCTTGGATCAAAGACTTATATATTTTTTTTTTCAAATGGTCTATTTTTAGTGGGCTATTGATCCATTAAAGTCTTGTAATCTTTTTATTACATTAACGCGTAAGTCCCTTATGTGGGTTTTATTAACAAAAAAGAAGAAGAAGAAGAAGAAGATAGATAGATAAATAGTTAGAAATGAACCAAATGAGCTTATAAGAGTAGATTCAACTTTGCAAGCTTGATTATTGTCGTTCACTTATTTTGTTTTTCTGGCCGAACTCTAATTAATGAATTTTAGTTATTTGTTGTGTTGATAAGGCGAGCATCCCTCATATGAAATATAAAAGGCTCAGCTTGTGATTTTATTTAATATTTGGTTGGCAAGGTGGATATAAGAAGATGAAGTTAGGTTTTATTCTTCTATCTAGTGAAAGAACTTGGTGGTTGGTTGTGTAAATTGGATATGTTAAGATAAGGGCTGCAAATGAACAAAGTGTTCGACAAATTGCACATGATTCGCTCGGTAATAGCTCATTCGTGATCTTTTGATTAAGTAATCAAACAATTTTGAACAGTTTTCTAAATACTCGATGATTAAATAAACAAGTTTGAATAACTGTGTGTTCGTCTCATTTATGTTCATGAAAAAAATTGTTCAAAGCTTATGAATATGATTGATAAGAAGCTCATTAAGAAGCTCGATTCTTGTTCAATGTGGAGCTCGTGAAAAAATTCAATTAATATTTAATATAAATATTGATTAGTCTTGATACGCTATCACAAAATAATCTTGATTGGGCACGAATCTCGAGGCAAAACTTAGTTGGAAACTTCAAAAATTAATTTCGGGAGCATATGAACTCCGATTTCAGCGATCTTATAGCCAAATTGAGCGTCTCGGAAATACGAACCCAACGACACCAAGATCAACCCAATCCGAGCCCAAATGAGTCCGAATCAAGGGTTCAAAGCACCGTTGGAAGGTTCAAACAGCACTCTAAATATGCCATCATCATTCTAAACATATTGTTTTCTCTACATCACATGTATAAATAAATTTAATCTATATATTTTTTTCATTCTCCTATTTTAAATTTCACTAATAAAAAATATTTTCTAACATATTCATAAAACTTAATTACTTCATATGATTATGAAGTCATGTTTTATAAATACAATCCACCAAATGGAGCCCATAATGAAAACAAGTGATAACTAATCGATGCCTACTCTCAATTAAAGGAATTTTTATTGCGTCCTCCCACCTGACGTAGAGATACGTCCTCCCAGAGCTAAATTCGCGCTAAAAAACGAGAAACACCGAGCAAATACCGAGCAATACCAAACAATAACGAGGAATATCATCATGTGAAGACCAATACCGAGTTATACCGAGCAATACCGAGCAATACAAAAAAATAACGAGTTTTTCCTAGAGATACGTCCTCCCACCTGACGTAGAGATACGTCCTCCCACCGCCAAAAAACTCGGTTTTTGCTCGGTATTGCTAGGTATTATTTGATAATAACGAGGAATATCATCATGTGAAGACCAATACCAAGTTATACCGAGCTTTACCGAGCAATACAAAAAAATACCTAGTTTTCCTTACAATAAAAATTCCAATTAAAGGCTCCAATTCTTCTCTTTATTGATGTCTGATGTAACGTAACTCTGTTAGATTGATTGATGTAACCATTTTCTAGAAAAAAGATAAATGTTTTAAGATTTCATTTTGAAACAACTTTCTTATTGCTTTTTAAAATAGTAAAAAAATTTAATTCAATTTTTTTCCACTAAAAACAGCTTTAAAAAGTAGTTAAAAAGTTGTCCCAAACAAAACTTAAATCAATAATTTAGTCATACATAGTTAGAAATCAACCAAATGGTTATTCTTCAGCTAACTGGGATGTGGGGGATGAAATTGATGTGCTTGGGAATAAGTATTTGGACAATTATTGGTTAAATGTTATTTGAAATGTTGATGTTGGTTTTTTCAAAAATGCTGGCAAGCGTAGAAGTAGAAAATCAAAAAAGAAATAATCCCTTTCCCTATTGGCTTGTGTGGTGGTTTGGATGCTACTAGTTGGTTGGCCTTTGGCTCGTTGGTTTTTTAGCCGGTTGTTGGGTGTTGTTTCTATGGGCTTTCTTATCCCCCCCTCTCATCTGTGAGCTTGGAGTGTTCTGTGATGATTCTATGTTGGTTGGGTGATTGTTATTTTTGCTTTATTCGGTTTGATTCTTGCTTTTGCAGGCTTCCTCAGGGTTAATGTAGCTATTCTCGGAGGGAGCTCTTGATCATCTTTTGGCCTTCTTTGTTTGGATTGATGTGCTGGTTGGACTGAGGTGTTGGCAGTTACTTCTTCTGATTGCTTCTTTTGGGTGATTCTCCTTCTGGTTTTGTATTCTTTGTTTGTTCTCTTTTCTTTTGTTTGTGTTTCGTATTAGCTTGGATCAAATGTTTATATGTTCTTTTTTTTCAAATAATGTATTTTTAGTGGGCTATTGATCCATTAAGTACTTGTAATTCTTTTATTACATTAACGCGTAAGCCCCTATGTGAGTTAAAAAAAAGATAAATAAATAGTTAGAAATGAACCAAATGAGCCCATAAGAGAAGATTCAACTTTAAATTGCAAGCTTGATTATTGTTCACTTATTTTGTTTTTCTGGTCGAACTCTAATTTATGAATTTTAGTTATTTGTTGTGTTGATAGATAAGGCAGTTGAATAAAATATGTGCACTTTGTGAATCTACGCAGTAAGAAAAGGGCGCAGAAGAGATCAGCGGAAGGCGAGCATCCCTTATATGAAATATAAAATGCTCAGTTTGTGATCTTATTTAATATTTGGTTGGCAAGGTGGATATAAGAAGATGAAGTTAGGTTTTGTTTAAATTGGATATGTTAAGATTAGGGCTGCAAATCAATAGAGTGTTCCACAAGTTGCATGTGATTCGCTCGGTAATAGCTAATTCATGATCTTTTGATTAAGTAATCAAACAATTTTGAACATTTTTTTAAATACTCTATGATTAAATAAACAAGTTTGAATAACCGTGTGTTCGTCTCATTTATGTTCATGAAAAAAATTGTTCAAAGCTTATGAATATGCTTGATAATTAAGAAGCTTATAAAGAAGCTCGATTCTTGTTCAATGTGGAGCTCGTGAAAAAATTCAATTAATATTTGATATAAATATTGATCAAGTCTCATTACTAAAATGATGATCAATCTAATATAAATCTTTTAGTTTATTTTATTTATATCCAATGTAAACTTTTCAGATACACTCAGCTAATGTAATGCTAAGAGGTATTAATGTTTCAAATGGCATGCAATTGATTTTTAGAGCCTTTCCTAATTTAAAAAACGAAATCAATTTCCAAACTTTAAAATTTTAATGATTTGAGATCTGATGGTTAGGGATTAATCATTATTTTAAAATTTTTATATGATCAGCTAGCTCTCTAATTAATTAATTAATTCTCTCTCTCTCTCTCTCTCTCTCTCTCTCTCTCTCTCTATGGAGTTCTAGATCAATAAAAAATTATCATATGGTTTCATATATTCTTTCATTGATCATTAAATTGAGTTTATTGATGATTAAGATATACTTGCTCAAGTTTGATAGACTGTTTGATTTCCGTATTCATAAATAAGCTCGTTTATTAAAAGTATTATTTATGAGCTTGACAAGCTACTCATTTATGAGCTGAAGAAAGCTCCATAAGCTTGCTCGTTTATAGGCCCGACGAAGTTTGAATATATATGTTTGTTAACCGTCTCAATATAAGTGTTTATTAGTAGTCTGGATAAAACCCGTTCGTTAGTAGCTCGATAACGTGTGTTTATTAATAACTTGATAAGACTCGTTTGTTAATTTAAAAGAACCACTTGTTTAAACCTCAATAAGCATGACCAAATCGAACACGAACTAAACATAAATCAAACTTAAGCATTTATCATTTTAAATGAATCAAGTTTGAACACAAACGAAAAAAGTCAGAATCGAGCTTCTACAAGCTATCGATAAACAAGCTCAAACATAAACTAGCATCTGTTCGACTCAGCTTTATTCATTTACAGTCCTATAGAAGATCAAGGTCGAGAAAGTGCCGCAGATAAGTTTGGGATGATCTTTTTTTAGAAATGTAGATGGTATAATTTAATATAGGATTTATCAACATGCTCATTTGTATTATGTGTCATATACTTAGAAGTTTATTTAATTAGAATTTATATGAGTGGTCCCATCAACCTTAATACTTCATATTGCTCTTCACCTTGCCCCTCCATTTTTGCAATATTATGTTTAGTTACATTTTAATACAGTAAATCATGGCCTCTTTTTATATAAGTTCATTTTTGCTCTTAAAATAATTTATTTTACTATAAAAATTTTAATATTGTACTAAAAAATAATTTTAAGAAACAATAAAAATATTGTCTCAAATTATACATAAATCTCCACAACCATTAATGATAAGATCCACTTATTTTGAACCACTGTATGCCTTTTCTACTGGATTAATTATTCTGTTTGGAGATCAATCAAAATGTGCAATGTCACCTCTTGTTCGATACCGCAGCTCATAATTACTAACGTGATGCATTCTAATTGATTTTCGGATGACGTTTTGCATCCGATCTCCACACAGAATAATTTCTCTTTATGCTGATTTGATTGCAAAATAGCCTACAGCAAATAGTTGATCGCTTCTCTACACCAGCATTATTAAAAAAAAGGAAGAGAAATCATTGACCAACTGCTGCTTTTGGTAGAAGACAGTAGCACAAACTCCTCACTACATTCAAACTGCTAGTCGGCCATCACATAGTTGAATAAAACAACTAACATATTCAATGCACCAACTACCTACTACTAACAAACAGAGCTTTTCAGAAGATCCAAACTGTCACTATTAATATAACTAGATCATTGGACTGCTAAATCATTTATTTTAACTATCTTCTCTCTCCACATTGAGTAATTGTAGTGATATTTGTTGCTCACTGTACTGGCACTGGGAACAATGGTGGCTCTCTCAACCAAGATATTCGACCCGTCGTCGTCGATTCGGTACGAAATGTCGATTCCTTCGAGAATCAAGTGGTAAATGACACCAGCTGCTGGGAGAAGTGAGCATTCATGGCTTTCACCTTCAATAATTGCATGATGTGGTCGGCTCTGCTGGGATAGTGACCTGATATCCCATGAGAGAACCTCCTTGATCAAACTCTGGAATTCATCCATGGATGCATATAGTGATTTTTTCTCCTGAAAGCAATTTGTTTACTTCAGCTCTATAACGAAAAGTCTTTAATCTTTATCAGATTTCTGATGGATAACAATTCAGTGATGATCAGTTTTTGTTGAGGAAATGGTTATGGCGTGAATAATTTCTTCAAAAGGTGTAAACTGGACTTACGTGTTCTGACCAGCAGATGGATAGAGTAGAATTAAATTCCGCAGAAAAACAAACAGAAGATATGGCCAACGAATTTTCTTCCTCCTGAATGATATTGGGAGGATGAAGTCAAAAAAAATTTATTCAAACCAAGTTCTAAATTATGCGCGTTGTATGTATCAATTCCTCATAACCCAGACTGATAAATAAAATTGACATACGATCAATATCAATTGAAATTTAAATAAATTCCAATATGCTCAATGTTGCACCGATATGGATGCGGCGACACGGATACAACACGATACGGATACGGAACACGTCAATCCTTAAAAATATAGGATACGGGTACGGTATGGACACGACATTAAAATTTATAAATCATACATAAAAATTAAAAAAGTAATCAAAGCATAATATTTGAAATGACAAAAAAAATGAAAGCAACATTATTTGTAGCTTGTTGCTTATAATATCAACATAAAAGTAAGCATTAAATGTCTACCGTCTAGTAACTCCTTTTTCATTTCATACTCCTTTGGTTGGCTCGAGCAACTTCTCAATGTTAGCCCTCTCTCTTTGCGTCATTTTTAGGATTTTGTTTTAGTTTTTCAACGGGACGCGTATCGGATACGAGTGTCCTTTTGAAATTAAATATTATTTTAATTAAAGCCGTATCCGACACGTATAGGTGGCGTATCGGACGTGTATCCGTGTACGACACGTATCTGATGCAACACGCCTTCATAAATAGATGTATCGGTGCAACATAGAATACGGTAAATTGTTCTTTCAAATTAATTTGAAACTTCCTAATCAGCTGAACAGCAGCATTCGCACATTGCTATATACACATACCCCATGTCCCAGAAATATGACAGCACACCAAACTTTCATGAAGTAGTTAGTAGTCACTGTAACAGAACTACGGATAATCCTTATAAGCCAACAAGATTTCAATAATATCGTCAAGGCCCATTAGCCAACCGGATTATAGTTGTTGAAATGTAATGTAACGTCCAAAAAAAAAAAAAAAAAAAATGACGCAGAAAAAAAAAAAAGATGACGCAGCTACAGGAAATGGAAAGCAATCAGCACGGGTGATTCTTTATTTATTTATTTATATAGTTAGACCTCGAAAGAACAAATAGAGTATATAGAGGCGTCAACAATGACTGAAAAATGAAGCCATATAAGAAACATTAAAAAATAAGAAATATATAAGCTTGGGCAAAATCTTTTTGTGCTAGAAGAAATACATAGAACAAAAACTATGCAGACAAAAAAAGAAAAAAAGAAAGAACAAAAAAATGTCAGTAACACCAGTTATTCGAACAAACTAAAATGAAAATTACCTTCAACCATTTGGGAAGAGTTGCTCCTTGAATGCTATCAGAGTATGGCAAGTAAGGTTTGACATCAAGGACTGGCTGTTGATAAAGGTGAATCCATAAGCACAAGATCATATTAAAACTGCCAAATCAACAAGAAGAAGTTTAGGACTAAAAAACATCTAGCATGGCAGACTGGGATGCCTGGTTTATGAAGCAATGAATACCGTTCCATCGACCAGATCTACTCCTGAAAGCAGAATTGCATGTCCTTCCTGCGCCTCAATCTGGAAAACAACCATAGAAGTCGAATATTTAGCAATCATTGATCCCAACAAGGAAATGATTTGGCTGAAAAATTTTGTGGAAGAATTAAACCAATTCCAAATAACATTTCACTCTTTCATGAATGTTATAGTGCTATTCACTTTCTAAAGAATATTATCTTCCATTCCGAGACAAGCACATACAACTTAGACACCACTATATATGCAGCTTATTTGAAGTTGATGAATTAAAACTCATCAAAATTAAAGGAGTAGAAAATTCCATTAATATGCTCATAAAAAAATGTTACTTTCTAAGAAACTGAACCTTTACAAAACCTCAGTTAACCGCCATGAATGATGATATGAAGGTGTTGTATACATAAGTGTTTAGATACGACCACCAAACCAGTGCATTATTTACTATTATTACCAAACCAGTACATTATAAATTTAAACTTCAAGTGCAAGATTATTAAGTGAGGAGAGTAAATTATATCAATTATCATGAAATTCAAACTCAATTCACACTACATTTTTCGACAAGATAGCTACATAATTCAATTCACGTTTGATTTTCTAAGATGGTGGCTACCTAACTTATATATCGAGATTTTGAGCTAAAAAATCAGTTTGTTCTGGATCTTCTTTCAGTTTTTTTTTTTGGCTTGAATTCCAAGAAGAAAACAAGCTTGCTCTCTTTTCATCGTCTTCCTGGATTTAGGAAAGAAGACAAAATCTCGATAGTTTCGTTTGCATCTTTTGAGTACTTTATTTGTCAAGCGGCACGCTAAGGATGTGTTTTTTTATGTTTAATTTATGCTGTGGTAAGAAAAAGAGGGTCTTTTTGGTGTATTTAAAGCTTAGCTTTGAAGAGCCATGCAAAAAACAGTCATTATTTTTTGCATTTTTTTCTGTTTAAAATCTTTGCATGTAGGGCTGCAAACGAACCGAGCCGAGCCGAGTATGTGAGTGTTCATTTTTGTGTTCATTTAATATCAGCTTGTTCAAGGTTCATGTTTGTTCGAGCTTTATTGTTTGTGTTCATGTTTGGTTCATTTAAATTTATGAGTGTTCATGTTTGGTTCATGTTCAGTTCATGTTCGTTCGTTTAGTGCTTATCGAGCTTGTTCGCGAACATATTTAATGAATTTTTTTTAACTATCAAACAAACACGTTCATGAACATATTTATAATAAAAGCAATTGTCTATGTAACAAAGGCAATGATTATTTATATTTATTAATTTTATAGTCAAATATTAATTATTTTTATCGATCTTATTCACGAGTTCAAAATCGAACACGAATCGAGCTTCTTATCGAGCTTAATGTCGAGCTTGTTCACAAACTTCAAATGATGTTGTTCGTGGACATAAATGAGCTGAACACATTAGTGTTCAAGTTTGTTTATTTAAGAATCGAGTATTTAAAATGTTGTTCAAGTTTATTTGTTTAGTTAATTAAACGATCATAAACGAGCTTTAATCGAATCGAACAACGAGTAGCTCATCGAACTTTTGGTTCGCTTGCAGCCCTATTCATCACCCATAAAACTTAAAAACTTGCATATCAAACTTCTTCTACTTTTCCTTTCCCTTTTCCTGTAAAAACAGCCAGTAAAAGATAACTGATAAGCTATGAGGCCCCGTAAATTATGTAATTTAAATAACAGTTATAATACATGAAGAGAATAAATTAAAATGTTGAAGTCATAAAGCATTAAACTCACATTTTAATGATAACAACATCATAAATCCTAATTAGTATTTTTAATTATCTCTTCGAAGTTATATTGAATATCAAAAATTAAATATGTAAAAGACTTGGCTATAAATACATAACAATATTCAATGGAGCCCAGGTTACCCTGGCATTATCGCCATTGAATTACCTTGAGGTCCCTTTTGCCTCATTGGGGTCCCTTTTGCCCCGCCTGCTATGCAGATCTCTTTTTCTTTTGGGGTCCCCTTTGCCCCCCTCTACAAAACAGGCTTAGTAATTTGGGTCCCTTTTGCCCACCTAATATTGTAGACATCATTTCATCATAATATAGCCAATCTTTATTTTTAATTTGATATTCCTTATTTCATACCTTCATAGTACATATCTGATTTTAATGATCATAAGCTTCAAAATTTGCCTATACTTATACATTTGGTGTATCATGAATTTAGTAGCTACTTAAGTTAAAATAGAAACTTCTTTGCATAAAATTATCAGTTAAGAAAAGCCTGAGATAAGTACATTTAAACATCTATCAAATCTTTCTTGTTCTCATGGATAAAAAAGTTGTGAATACTTTAATATACCTTCATGATGATTAAACAATTTCTCAAACTGCATCTCTTTATAATAGACTTTCAAAACATAAAGGATAAATTAACCATTCATGATGATTACAACTATAATTAATTACATAATTTACCTCTTTGATTGTTGATCTCTTCAAAACCTACACCACGAAGTCTCCTCCTTTGATACACAAACCCAAAGCTTTCTTTCTGCATAAATCTATGAATAATCCTACCATACAATTAGGTTATCATTTTTAGAAATATTACTAAATTTAGGTGACATAAAAGATGAAGGTTAATAGTATACTTCTCACCTTTATCTTCCTTTCTTTCCTTTATTCTTTCCTTCTCTTCTTCCTTTCTCTCTTCTCCAAACTACCACCTTAATTCATAATTCTTTCAACTAGTTTGCATAATCACATCACTACAATTCATTACAATTCATAAAAAAAAATTTGATCATTTCACGTACCTGCAATTTGTTTCCCTTATTTCACAATTTCTACAAAACTCCCTTTCACTAAAATATACGGAATTCTTTTGAACCTTAGAATCACTGTTTGCACAAGGAATTTCTGTGAATTGATGGCCCTTGATCGCTCCTTTTACAGTGCTTTCAGCACATGCCGAAACATTTACAGCCGCAAGCACCTATAGCCCGCATGCAGGCTGAAATCCTTTCAAGTATTCCAAGGGATTTGCTACAGGAATACTCTGTTAAAAGCTTCGCACCTTGCCCTCCTTATTCTCCCTTTGCTACAAGGCTTCTCCGCCTATTGCTACAGGATTTCTTTGATTTCCTTTACTGAACCAGCGGCAGTTACCAAGAATTGATTACCAGATAAGGAAAAGAAGTGGGTCCCACTCTTCAACCGACTTCCAATAATTTCCTCCCCAAAAGCATCTATTCGGCTCCTAATAAAACTCAATTAATTATTATAATTCCATTAGCTAATTGATCTTTAATTAATCCTTCTTTTAAATAAATAGCTACTAATCAAAGTTTCACACAATACAAGCGCATACCTGAGAAATTTGAGTCTTTGGATATTACAGAGTAACTCGTCGAACGTTTGGTTCGCTTGCAGCCCTATTTGCATGTGGGTTTTCCTTCTAATATAGAATATTATCCATATTATTTGATGTTTTGAATTCAAAATATAATTTTCTATAGTAGCCTTGTTCTTATTGAGTTGTTTGAATGTGCTGTATTGTTTGAATTTTTAATTTTATATCTTAACAAAAAATCATTAGAGTGTAGATATCTCCTCTTAATGCATCTTTGAACATCATATAAAAATATTTCAAGCAATCTTCTAATTTAAAATCATAAAATAATAAGGATGATAATAACAATAAGGTCGAAGAGCAAAAATGAAAAACGCATTCGAGTGGATATTGATTTACCAAAAAATATGGAATTAAGTGTGAAAAATCTTTCGTCTTATCCAAAATTGCATATGCCGGTCCCAAGCCCGGATGAAAAAAGTTGAGGGAAAATTTAATAAAATAATTTAGGCCCCCTCAATAAATTTTTTGGCTCTGCCACTGATCATAATTAATCCTTCTCACTTACTACCTCATATGAAAACTATAAAAAAGAAAAGAAATTAATGATTGCTAGCATCCCATAATTATAAGAAAGCAAAGAAGAGATAAGAGAAAGAGAGAAGGGAAGAGAGGAAGAAGCTCTCACAGTAGAGAAAATAAGAGAGAAGGAAAAGTATCATCAAAATCTTATTCTATGTTTAACCATTATTTTCACAATAGGTGATTATACTCCCTCTCAACCATTAACATAGACAAAGTGATATCTTTGTCTTTATTGATATGAAATGTAATCTCCCTCTATATACTTTTTTAAAATTTAGTAGAATATAGACCTCTAAGCGCCTATAAACATAGGTGAATCTCACCTAACTAGGTAAACTTCTGTGCTATTGTTTGAGATCTTTATTGTGTTTATTCTATCTTCATTTGATTTTAACTGTTGAAGTCACTATCCTAATAAAAAATTGCATAGCTTTTCACATAAGTCTACCTTCCGAGCAGCAAGAAAGCAGCTTTTCCAAAAGTATTATAAAGCTTATAGTGAAAATAATAATAATAATAAAAACAGTTGCTATCAACCAACTTTAAAAACACCACACTAACCAAATAAAGCATTATGGTCCATTTGGGGTCCTTATTTCAAGGAAGTAGCCATGAAATTTTCTGGCTGCATGTAAGTTGGAAACAGCTAACTTGCACACATCCAAATGTTTTCCAGATGCGAAAAATTAAACATAAAAAGTGCATTAGCGATTCCATCATATAAATATATGACTCATTAAGCCAGCACAATCTGAATAGAATACATTTGAGCAGGACATAACACAAAAGAAACGCCTCAAGTCAAAGGTGAGTATAAATCAGTTGCCTTACTACGCATATAGGTTGATTTCACATGCTACTACGACAGATGTCTGCGTAGAAATCAGTAACATAGAATGCAAATTTAGATAGAAACCCATTTCGAATTCATTGAGTTAACCACTTCCTAGCGAGGCAATTATACTAGGAAGTACAAACAATGAGCTCTGATAAACTGATAGACCGATACCTGGACCAGTCCAGCCTGTCCAACCAAGACCGGTACACATGTACAGGAGGCAAAACAGGGGATTTCCGCCGCCTTCATTGCCGCCCAACCCATGCGGGGGGGTCCACAAGATTAACTAGGGGGATTCGGGAAGGGATTAGGAAGTAAAGTTCAAATAAAAGGGTCTGTTTGGGATTTGACCTAATTATTGTATGCTTAAGTATGTTTTGGAGGCTAGGATTAGTTTTTTTTTTCATCTTGGTTTTTGCTGTAATTTTCTGGTCCTTAGTTTTTACTTGGGCTCTAGTGGCGTCTAGGGATTTGGAAGAGCCAATTCTTCCTCTCTAATAGAAGATCCATTGTATATTGTTATTTTTCTTCATCTATAATCAATTAAGAAGTCCCATTATGGTTTTCCTTCCAAGTTCTTCTCAACTTTTAATTTGCAAGGTGTTGAAATTAAATTCAAGCAAGGCAGACCCTTGTTTCCTACAAGCGTTTCCTAACAAATTGATATCAAAGCCCTTCAATCTACAGTACCAATGGCCGGAAGGAAAGTGAAAGTGTTGGAAGGGGAAATAGGGCAATTGAATCAGATTTTGTAGAAAAAATTTCAGATTTTGAAAACCAATTTTCATCCGTCCATGAAAAAACGTATGGAAAGTTCACCGTCGTGGAATAAATGCTGAAGAAATTGCTAAAAGCCAAATCCAAAATGACGACATCAGAGGCGAGGGAAGCTGCCGGCGGCCAAGGAAGTGGTGGAAACCCTAATCCGATTAGGGGAGGGGAAACTTAAGAAGTAGAGATTTTGAAAGGAGAAAATAGGATCCCTCCTCTAGAGTCTATTTCTAGAGAGGAAATGAGTATTGGGTATGAACGAAGTAGTGCTGATTTTGTAAGAAGAGGGGTGGATTATGAGCGCAGGGGTGCCGATTTTGAAAGGAGGGGGAATTGGGTACGAGCGCAGAAGGGAGGATCGAGAAACTTAGGGAGCACCTCCCTTTCGGGGAATGGGAGGCTATGGAGGATTCGGAAGAAACGGAGGCGATCCGAGGGTAAATAAGTTGAAGATGCCTATCTTTGAGGGCGAGGACGCACATTGGTAGATCTACAGGTAGAGAGGTATTTCGTGATTTCGTCGTTAACGAGTTGAGGGAGTAGGCGAGATTGATGGCAGCTAACCTGTGTTTGGAGGGGAAGGCATTGACTTGATACCATTGAAGAGACATGAGGCAGCTCATTCGGAGTTGGAGAGAGTTCAAGGACTGCTTGTTGGAATACTTCCAAACCAGCAGGGAGGGGATCATGGTGTCTCTCAGACCATGGTTAGAACCATGCATGAGGTGGGAGGAGGATTTATGGTGGAACTACAAAGCTTAGAAGGGATCAGACTAGAGGAAGGGAGGGACATCTCACTTTCAATACAACCACTGACATAGCAGTTTAGTGAGGTTTTTCAGCCACCTCAAGGCTTACCACTACTGAGGGAGAAAGAGTACGCCATCACCTTCAGAGAGGTGGTGTCACCGATTAGTGTTCGGCCTTTACCGCTACCCTCAGATTCAGAAGGACGAGAGATAAAAGTTGATCCAAGAGATGTTAGAGGCAGGGATCATCAGACCGAGTGTGAGTCCTTTTTCTAACCCAATTTTGTTGGTTAAGAAAGATGGGAGCTGGAAATTTTGTGTTGATTAACGGGCTCTGAATAAAGAGAGTGCGCTAAAAAAGTTTCTCATACCGATGATTGATGAGCTACTGGATGAGTTGTGTGGAGCAGTGGTGATCACCAAGGTGGATATGGAGTCGGGAGACCATCAGATCAGGATGAGAGAGGAGGATGCACCAAAGACTGCTTTTAGGACACATGAGGAGCATAACAAGTTCTTAGTGATGCCATTCGGGCTCACAAACACCCCTACCACCTTCCAGTCGCTCATGAACTGCATATTCAAACCATATCTCTGAAAGTTCGTACTGGTTTTCTTTGATGTCATACTGGTGTACAACAGGCTATTAAGCATCGACACTTCTCCCCCAAAGAGACGTACAGTGTCCGACATGACATGCGCCCGACACTCTTCCGACACATGTCGGACACGCTGAAAATATGTTTGATTTAAAAAATATTAAATATAAATTGGACACTTGTGTCCGACACGCTTGTCCTAAATATTTTATGAATTTTTTAAATATAATTTCTTGTATTTAAATTTTTATTTATTTAAAATATTAAAACTATTTTTTTAATATCCTATCCAAACTCAATACCTCATTTTCGAATATTATCATTTTAATTTCTCTTTGGTGGGTCGCGACTTTGGTTTCACAATAATGTCCGATGTCATCTCAAAATCGACGTCTGGCGTCGTTACAACATTGACATTTCAAAACGATCTCAACATCAAAGTCGGACACTATCTGGACATTGATGTACGACGCTAGCAATTTCTATACCCACAACTTGACAACTCATATTTGTATAACGTCTTCTTAACATTGACGATCAACGCCCTCTAAGCATCAATGATAGACGCCCTCTTGACATTGACGCCCGATACTTACTGCATAACATCGATGTTTGACTCTTGACAATACTTCCGTCTTCTCTCTCGATGCCTGATACATGACATCGAAGCCCAACTCTTGACATCCTAATACTAATCATTCAAACACAAACTCTAATTAAATAACTTGTTATTTTTAAATCTATTTTAATATTATACTCATTCAATTTTTAGACACTAATTTTAAAATATAAAAATTATAATTATCGTGTCCAACCCGTGTCAGTGTCTTATATTTTCAATAAATTATATTTCTCGTATTCGTGTCATGGCGTATCCGTGTCGCCGTGTACGTGCTTGTGCATCATAGACAACAGGTCAATAGGGGAGCATTTGGAGCATGTGAGGGTGGTCTTGGAAGTATTACAGGAGCATCAAATGAGAGCCAACCCAAAGAAGTGTTGCTTTGCACAAACCAGTGTAAAATACTTAGGGCACGTGGTTTCTCAGGAGGGAGTGGCTGCAGATCAGGCCAAGATTGAGGTAATGCAAAAATGGCCTCTACCTAAGAATCCGAGAGAGTTGAGAGGGTTCCTATGTTTGACGAGGTACTATAGAAGATTCATGAGAGAATACAACATCATAGCTTGGCGGCTGATAAAGCCATTAAAGAAAGACAGTTTCTTGAGGGAAGAGGCAGTTACACAGGCCATTGAGAGATTAAAGAAAGTCATGACCACAATACTACTTTTGGCCCTACCAAATTTCAGTAAGATCTTTATGGTTGAGGCGAATGCATCAGGAGATGGGTTGGGGGTCGTGCTCAAGCAGAATTACAGACTCATAGACTACTTCAGCCAAGTGCTGACATCTAGAACTAGGATGAAGTCAGTCTATTAGAGGGAATTGATGACCATTGTGTTAGCCATTCAAAAGTGACTACCATACTTGTTGGGTCGACATTTCATTGTCAGGATGAACCAAAGGAGTTTGAAGTTCATTTTGGAGTAAAGGATGGTGACTGAGTATCGGAGATGATTGTCAAAGCTATTAAGTTATGATTTTGAGATTCAGTATAGCTAGGATTGGAGAACAAAGCGGTGGATGCCTTATCTAGATGTAGGGGGGAGTTCCAGGAGTTGGCTATGTCGACACTACTGATGCTGGATTGGGGGGCTATCAAAGATGATAGTGTGCATGATGAGTTGGGAAAAATAAGAGCGGATCTTTTGAAGGATGAGAACAACCACCCGGGCTACTCTTTAGAGGAGGAGAGACTGTTGTACTTGGGGAGGTTTGTGATGCCACGAGCTTCAGTTTATATCCCACAACTACTGCAAGAGTTTCACGGAAGCGCTGTTGGAGGTCACTCTGGTGTACAAAAGATATACAGGAGACTAGCAGCGAAGCTGTATTGGAAGGGGATGCACAATGATGTGGAAGATATGGTGACAAGATGAGAGGCGTGATAGTGGAACAAGTACATGGATATGACTCCTAGGGGGTTACTTTAACCCTTAGCTCTACCATATAGGGTGTAAGAGGAGGTCACCATGGACTTTATTGATGGGTTACCCCAATCGGATAAGTTTATTGTGATTATGGTGGTAGTTGACATATTGAGCAAGTACGATCACTTTATACCCCTACAACGTCCTTACACGACAATGACAGTAGTCACTGCATTCAACAGGGAGGTGGTCAGGCTACATGGGATACCCGAGTCTATAGTATCTGATAGAGATAAGGTGTTCCTCAGTCATGTTTGGACAGAGTTGTTCATACTATAAGGGACAATACTGTAGAGGAGCACCGCTTACCCCTCCAAGACAGACGGGCAGACAGAGGTAGTGAATCAGAGCTTGGAGACATACCTACGGTGTTTTGCTTCAGAAACACCTAGGGTATAGGCTAAGTGGCTGGCATGGGCAGAATACTAGTACAACACATTGAACCACTCGACCTCCCAGATGACTCCTTTCAAGGTGTTGTGCGGGAGAGACCCTCCACATTTGGTATATTTTTGGCAGAGCCGCACACTAGTATCTTCAGTAAAGCAGTACCTGGAGGAAAGGGATAGGGTGCAGAAGAAGATAAAAAGACATTTGTTAAGGGCTCATCAAATTATGAAGAAGCAGGTGGATGAGTACAGGAAGGACATCTAGTTTGTCATTGGGGATAGGGCATTTTTAAAGCTGTGACCTTATAGGCAAAGGACAGTAGCCAACTAAAGGAATGAAAAGATGGCCCTAAGGTACTCTAGTCCTTATAAGGTGTTAGAGAGGATTGGATCAATGGCCAATTGCTTAAAGTTACCCCTGACCACTTCCATGCACCTCGTATTCCACGTATCACAATTGAGGAGAGCTGTGGGGGATCATGCGGCTAGTTTAGAATTACCAAAGCCGCCGACAGAGGATCTAGAGATGGTTTTGGAACCACTGGAGCTTCAAGGAGTACGACAGGGAGAGGAAGAGCTCAAGAAAGTACTGATTAAGTGGAAGAACCTACCTAACTATGAGGCCGTATGGGAGCCATATAAGAGGGTGAAGCATCAGTTTCCTTCTTTCACCTTGAGGACAAGGTGGCTCTTTGGGAGGGGAACATTAATAGACCGGTACTTGGACTGGTCCAGCCGGTCCAACTAGGACCGATCCAAGTGTACAAGAGGCAGAACAAGAGATTTCCGCCCCCTTCATTGCCACCCAACCCATGTAGGGTCCACAAGATTAATTAAGGGGATTTTGAGGGAAAAATTCAAATAAAAGGGGCTGTTTTGGAATTTGAACTAATTATTATATGCTTAAGTATGTTTTGGAGGCTAGGGTAAGTTTTTTTCATCTTGGTTTTAGCTGTAATTTTCTGGTCCTTAGTTTTTGCTTGGGCTCTAGCGGCGTCTAGAGATTTGGGAGAGCCGGATCTTCCTCTCCAATAGAAGATCCATCGTATCTTATTTTTTTCTTCATCTATTATCAATTAAGAAGTTCAATTTTAATTTTCCTTCCAATTTCTTCTCAACTTCTATTTTGCAAGGGGCTAAAATTAAATTTAAGCAAGGGAGAACCTTCTTTCCTACAAGCATTTCCTAACATAAACTTATCTCCACCTCCATATACATTATATATTTTACTCTCTTTTCTGTATAAGAAAACTTCGACGTCACTTTCTTTACTGCAATAGAACTATCTTTTTGAACTTTCTTCATAGTTGTTATCAAGGAAAATCCTCAATTAGGATTACAACAAACTCAGCAGGCTCAGACACAGCTCAATGGGCGAACAACATGCATATTTACAATCTTCTCGACCATTAAAAAAATAGAGAATTTTACCTTTGCAACCGAAAGACCTATAGGACAAGGCCTATGTGGTGATCTTGTGGCAAGGACTCCCATCTTGCCACCTTTAAGTCTAGGAACTCTCACCTGTTCAATATATAACTAAGAAATTAGACTAGATGAATTTAACAAGTAAACACGTTAAGGAGATGAGCAATAATACATTAAGCCAGGAACAAATCAAACCTTTGCCTTGAATTTTGATCTGGAGGTTTGTTTCCACAATTTCTCAAGGTCAGTGTTCAGGTGAAATACGTATAAGACCCAGCAATGGGAGTATTCAGCAAGTCCATCTAATGCAGCTGCTGGAACTCGGCTGGAATCAAACATTAAGCATGCTCTAGAAAGAGGCACTACTAAGGGTTGCCTCGGTGTACCATTCCTACATGAAGAATAAAATCAAAAGTGCACTTACATAAGTAAATGTACACCTAGATTCACAGTTTTTACACAATGATACACCTAGATTCACAAAAATAACAAAAAGAGTCACATGATTTTTTCTTTTTTTTTTTACAATTAATTTTTTGCACAAGGTATTTAAAAGACAAAATACCCAAATTTCCTCGTTAAAATTTTGCCATCACCATCATCATTAAAGAATATACTAGCTACATGAGGAAGCTCGTCATATTTTATCACACTCACACCTGTGGAGGGCCAACAATAGAATAAGTTGTGTTCATTCATGATTGTAACTATAGTATCTCTGTTTATCTTGTTAAATTTATGTTGTCTCTCCTCTCTCTTCTCCATATGCTCTCTTTCTCCCTTCCACTCTCTCACCCTCTGTCTCTTCACACACAATAAAATGATAAAGAATTCTCTTTCTTTCAATCAAACTTCCCTTCCTTTTCTCCCACTTACCCTCTCCCTAAAAAACAGCTCCTTTCACCCTCAACACCCCACAACAATATCTCTTCCCAATGTATTGCTCACTACTAGCCTTTCTTTCTCTAGTCCATATTATCTCACACTCAATCTCTCTAAGAGATTGCTACGTTTAGTGAAACTTGTAATGTTCCGTATGCTATTTAAAAAATTTCAATTGTTTGATTTACTAACATTTTAAGTGACATGTTGTTAGATCGGTCCAGGAGGGACCAGTCCATCCAGTCTTCACGGACTGGTCTATGCCTGATTGAGCGGAACAGGTGTCTGCCTATTTTGGAAGGAAAATTCAAAGGGGTGGTGGGGCCGGTTCCACTTAGGAGGGAAAAGAAAAAGGCGAGGGCTTTTTCAGCCTTGACTACATTTTGATGCATTAAATAGATTGTTTACCACAGGGTTAGATTTTTATGTATGTTTTACAGAAATTAGACTGCTCTTAGCGTGTTTGGGCTCTAGCCGATAGCTAGAGATTTGGGATAGCTGGATCTTCGTCCCCAATAGAAGATCCAATGAATATTGTTTGTTTTCTTCCTTATTTCATCAATTAAAATGGTTTTGCTCTGGTTATTACAAGTAATTCTTCTTGTGGATTGTGTTTGGGCTGCTGAAATTTAATTTCAGCCAAGGAATATTGAATTTCTACAAGCACTTCTGATGAACCGACATATTTGGTTGGGAGGAAATTAGGAAATTTCCTAATCAAGAGGGAGCTGTTTAGGAATGTTCTTAATCAAAGGGGTTAGTTATGAGACGTTTCATAATTAAAGAGAGCATATTTGGGGGTTGATTTAGAGGGGATTAATTGAGAAATATTTCCTTATTAAAGAGGGAATAATTGGGGGCTGATTTGGAGTGGATTAATTAGAAAATGCTTCCAAATTGAAGAAAGTAGATTTGGGGGCTGATTTGGGAGGGAAATAATTAAGGAAATAAGAGGGAATTGAGGGATGGTTGTTTGGGTATTTGTTGTTTATTGTTTGCTTTAAGTGATATTCCTAGGGTAAGGGGTATGTGTCATTTGCTGAATTTAGATTGTTCTTAGGGTGTTTAGGTTCTAGCCGACAGCTAGAGATTTGGGAGAGCTAGACCTTCCTCTCCATTTGAAAATCCACTTGTATCTTGTCTTTTATTTCATCAAACTTTCAATAAAAAATGTTCTTGTGTGTTCTATTCATGGTTTTTTTATCGTTGGTTTTCTAACATTGTTGAAATCATATTTAAGCCAAGGCTTTTCCTAAATTTCTGCAAGCATTTTTTATCAAATTGGTATCTGAGCAATTTCTTGGGCTGGAATAAAAGTCTTCATCGCTGCTTTATGATGTGTTTTCCTCTCTGACCTTGCTGTTTGGGGGCCACATTCGCATCAAAGTAGTTATTTTTTGTTGTTGAAGCTTAGATCTTGGTACCCATGGCGGGAAGAAAGGTACAAGTGTTGGAGGGGAAAATCGGACAACTAAAATATAGAATTTTAGATCTCTAAACTCAATTTTTAGATTTCAAAAGTCAAATTTTTCAGTTGTCCATGAGAAGATCGATGAAAATTTTTCATCATGGAGAAGATGCTGAAGAAGTTGCTCGAGGGCCAACCCAAGAGGGAGGATGGGGAGGTGGAAATTTTGGGGGAAGAATAGGAGATGCCACATTTTGAGCCACTTCCAAGGAGGGGAAAGGGGGAAGGAGTGGAATTTTTGGTGGAGCTGCAGAGTTTAGAAGGAGAAGATGGGGAGAAGATGGCTATCACATGTTCTAAATGATGCACGTCATAATTGAGTAAGATCTAGATGTTATCAAATTTACGCGACATCTAATGTCACAATTTTTAGAAAATAAAGAGTCATATAATCCCCTTGATCCCCTCCTTCGCTCAACACCTTTTCATCTCTCACACTTATTCATTAGTGTGCTTACTTCCGATGCTCACAAACCTATGAATAAAATAACTCCACTAAAATAAGCAAATAACATTTAAAAAAAGCAAATACATCTTATACCATTTAAATAATATAAAACCAAACAACCTCTAATAATTCTTCCTCTATCTACAAGTTATCCATAGATTGCTAATTTTTCTTTGCCTCCCCTCAATCCTAATCTTGATCTCCCTACCTTCTCTCTTGAAAAACTATTACATTTCCCACCTCGTCCTATTTCGTTAAAGTCAACCATCACCGAAAAAGATATTACATCGCCATTAATAGTCAATGTGGTCTCCTGCCGACTACGGTCCTTCCGACCTATATCGCCAGACAACGATCTTTCTGACCTCTGTCTATTACCGTCTACGGTCCTTCCGACCCCCGTCACCTATAATGGTCCTTCCGACCTCCATCACCAGATAATGGTTTTCTGACCCCGGTCTCCTACCGACTACGGTCCTTCGGACCTCTGTCGCCTACAATGGTCCTTCTGAACTCCATCACCAGACAACGGTCTTTCTGACCCTGGTCTCCTGCCGACTACGATCCTTCCGACCTATATCGCCAGACAACGATCTTTCTAACCTCTGTCTATTGCCGATTACGGTCCTTCCGACCTTCATCACCGATAATGACCCTTCCAACCAAATAAACATGTCTATGTCGATTATTGTAACTCCCACCATGTAATGCGCTCTATATGACGTACATTTGTAACATCAAGTCAAGGCCTTCTCCCTAAGAAGGGCCTCATTTGTAATTGACTGCAAATACTAGTGGATTCATTCAAATTGGGCCAGGCCCCATGGTTTTTCCCCCTTTTTAGGGGTTTTCCACGTAAAAACTTTGGTGTCTCTTATGAACGCTACACCCTCTCACTTATCTGATTGTGTGCTGGATCTTCATACAATGCTAAGACGTTAAACTATATATTTCTCTACCGTCGCAAATACTCCAAGAAGCAACAAAAAGAAAAATATTATTCTATAATATAATGCTTGTCAAGTCTGTCAATATCTAGAGTTACACTAATTGATAGCTAAAATTATAAAAACAAGAAGTAACATAATCACTAATGATCATTCTAAACAATAGCTACTAATAAATCAAAGGAATAATGTTGTGATCTATACTATACTGTAGATAAAATTGAACCAAACAACCAGCTTTAAACGGATAACCTAGTAGCGAAGCAGGACTGCACGAAAGCAATGGGAGCCATAGGGTAAGAAACAGCAGATTCTGATCTCGACATTCTCGAACCATCAGAACTCCGCTGAGCCAAAGCCACCCGTAGCGCCTGAAATAGTCAAGAACCGTAATCAATCAAAGCCTAATCTGTATGTTAAACGAGAGGCCTCCTAATGGCTATCACTTGCCTGCTGGGCTCTAATTCTCCCACGCCGCTCCGATGCTGCCATCTCCAAAGAAGCATCGAGAGAGGCTTCGAGCTCCTTAACGCGTAAAGATAGAATCTTGGATTTTCGCCTACATATGGAAGCTGGAAGCTCGCAAGGTCTTAGGGTTTCGGTTGGTCTTTTCTCAATAAATTTTGGATAAGGGAGAGATTAAGGAAGAAAAGCTACCAGAGAAGAAGGCGACAGAGAGAGAAATCACAGCCGTCACCACCGCCACAACGGCAAGAGAGGCGGCGGGAATTTTGGCCAATTTACCGTTTCCGACGGTAGCCATGAAAGGAGGCGGTGGCGGGCAGAGAGGTCAACAGGTGGCAAAACGCTCCATAATCTACCTATACGAGAGAAAATTATCGTAGTTTCAACTTATTAGGTTTCACGAAGTTCTCCCAAAAAAAAAAAAGGTTTCACGAACAATTATTAGGTTTGTAAGGGAATAAGAGACTAAGGCTTCGTGGGACGGTTTTTTACTTTTTACTAAAACTATTTTAGAAAGCAATAAAAAAAATCGTCTCAAACGAAGCCTAAGTTTCTATCCCAATAAAATATTGATATGTGTCATGTACACTTGTCCTCAAATAAGTCAAGTGCGTCAAAAGTGTAAGTAAAGTGCAAGTAAAGCGTAATCAAAATTCAATTAAAGCGCAGTCAAAACACAATCCACGCGACAAATTTGAAATAGATATCTGAACTTATTTTTTGATCCAATGTCCGAACCTAATATATATATTCATTTATTTTGTTCCACAATCACAAGATACAATCTATTTGCCCTTAACTATAAAATAATAGCTAAACAAAACAACCAAAAAACCTTGGAAATATTGTAATTGACCAGTCTAACACTATCAATTTTTTTCATAGAGGATAACATCAAATCATAGTGTTTAAAGGAAAGTCTATCGGCCTAGATACATGTACATGTTTTTCAGTCACCAACCAATATCAGTAAAGTCAATCTTTACTTGTCCTCTCACATATCACAAAATTATAATAGTAATAGCAATCATCTATTACCTAATCCCGATTTCAATAACATTCATAATGTTTATATTACTAGTTTACTTGTATAAAAATACTAAAATTAGTATTTAGTGTAAATTATACAAAATACAATAACGTTCACTTTACCCGATAAATTTATTAAATCAATCAGTCAAAATATTCATAATCAGTACTACAACATATAAAAAGTTATGTAGTAGAAGTTCACTAGATTTGGAAAAATTGGAAAAAATGCAATAAAATCAATTGGGAAGAAATCTATCGGAAATCAAAATATTTGAAAACAAGAATATGATTAAAGTCATATACCACAATCTAAGCATTTATCATAAAAAACTAGCAAAATGAACCTGTGATTAAAATCAAAATTTTCTTTTCTTCTCTCCTTTTTTTTTTTCCTATGCCTTTTCTTCTTCCCTGGTGGAGTGAGAGAGGCGAGTGAGTGGATAAGATATATATAAAAATATTGTTAATGACCTAACATCGCAACACTGTATGTTGAATCCATAATTATTATAGAACAAAGCATTCAATGTCACGACAATAACTTTTGGGGTCATTGCGCTCTCAAGCGCAACACTGCAACATTCAAAAGCTCTGCATTGCAACGCTCTGGTTCAAACAAAAATTTAGGTTTTCATTTTAAATTTATTCAAAAAATTCATGTTGTTACAATCTGCCCACCTAAGAAAAATAATATCCTTGACACTTCCCTAATGGATTCGGGTATAAAACCAATACAAAATAAATTTACAATAAAACTAAAATAGAATCAAAATCAAATCAAAAGCTCATCGAAGGATTCTCATCAACCCAATAATCACTTTCTTATTTGGTCATGTCGTTCATTCAATCATATTTCATTCACTTATGCAATGAATCGTGCAAAGGTAGCGAGGGTTCGCTGGTGTTGGTTCTATGTGATTTATGCTTTAGAGGTCTCTTGAATCTCTAGCAAAAGATCTAAGCCTCTAAAAGTACCCTTCATGCAAGGAAAGAGAGTGTATTTGTAGATTTTGAGAGGTCATTCTCCATAAGATCCATGATAAATTCAGAGTGTTTTGTCGAATGGCTCATATCGATTTTCTTAATTATGGAGCATTCATTTAACATTTAAGTTTCGTAATGACGTTGGAATTGTGCGTTCTTGGGCTTGTTGGATTTGTCTTGTCGAGCCGCTCGATTTGATTATAAGAATGACATATTTATATATCATTTGATCATCAAATTAATCTTTTGAAACATCTAAATATGCTTCGGTTCAGGGGTGTAAACGAGTCAAGTCAAGTTGATTATCTATCTAATTGAGCTAAGCTTGTTTAGCTCTTATTGAGCTCGAGCTCATTTTAAGCCCGAATTGACTCGTTGAAAAAATTCTAGGCTCGAGAATGACTCTATTGCTCAAGCTTATTTACAAAGCTTGAGCTCGAAAACTTGACTCAATTGTTGTGCTTGGTTTCTTAGTTTAAAATTAAAAAATACAATTTTTTTTAGAATTTTTATTTTTTATATATAGAATTAATTTAAAGTTATTAAAATATATTATAAAATGCTAAATTAATTTAATTTTAAATATATTTTAATTTAATCAAGCGACACAACGAACTTTCGAGGTGAGCCAGGCTTGAGCTCGTGCTCATTCAATATACGAGCTCGAGTATAGGCTTGAGCTCGAACTACTGGCTCCATAAGCTCGACTCGTGAGCTTGTTAACGAGTCGGCTCGCGAGCCAGTTCGGCTCACTTACACCCCTATTTGGTCCCTTAATTTGGGCCCATTTAAGCTCGGATTGAACCGATTTTAGTATTGGTGGGTTCGTCTCATTGAGACGTTCAATCTAAGCAGCATTGTTTCAGTTACACATAATTTAATTATTTAGATTTTATTTGGAATAACTTTCCTACTGTTTAATTTTATAGTGCAATTATAATTTTTCTTTTATCAATGTTTTTTGTTACTTTTAAAAAATATATATTAGAAAGCTATTTACCATTTTAAAAATTTACATTATTTATAGCAGTTTTATAAAGTAATAAAAAAATTATTCCAAACAAAATTTTAATCAATCTAACATGATAGAGATCATGGCCTCACCCGTAAATTTTAAAGTGTTAGATGTGATATTTTTTTCTATTTTAAAAATTTTAGATCTACCAAATATAACGGCTACAAAAAATGTAAAATAACTACTACACTATTTTTTAAAATTATTAGTAAGTGGATGTATTAGCCTATTAGGATTTAAATAGCTTCTTATTAATTTTTTTATTACTATATTTAATTCTTATTAAATAGAAAAATTATGTATTAATATTTTTTTACAATTGTAATCCAACATTAAAAAAAGTAAATAAAAAAAAATATGTAAAAAAAAAACACTTACGTAAAAATATTTTTACATCAGAATGAATGTTAAGAGTTTCGTTTGAGACAACTTTTTTATTGTTTTCTAAAACAAATTTTCAATATATATTTTTTTTAATTAGAACATTTTTATTGAAAAGCTGCTTTAAAAAGAAGTAAGAAATCTATCCCAAACAAAGCCAAATTCTTCAAATTTACACTGAAATTAGTATAATTCTTGATATTATGCATAAGCACTAACTTAATATAAATCCAACAACTCTGAAGACCACTACCACATATATAAAGACAATAAAAAAATTGCATCAATTATGTCATTAATGTGAGCCCAATTTACTAAACTTTTTGGGTTCTTTAACATAACATACTATTTATAAAAATCAATTGAATTTTAGTATTCTTTTGAATCATCTTTCTTACTGCTTTCTAAAGTAGCTTTCTAGAATAAAAATTTCTAGTCCAAAATTTTTTTGAACTAAAAGTTATTTTACAAAGCAGTATGAAAGATGTCCCAGACAAAATCTCAATCTTTATTTTATATAAGACGGGTTCCATCCTAAAGACATTTAATATATATAAGTCCAAAATTTTTTTGAACTAAAAGTTATTTTACAAAGCAGTATGAAAGATGTCCCAAACAAAATCTCAATCTTTATTTTACATAAGACGGGTTCCATCCTAAAGACATTTAATATATATATATATATAATGTGTCAATATAAAAAAAATATTAAAATTACATAAAACTTAAACTAAAAAAATGATAACTTAAGCAACAAAAAAAAAACTTTTCTTTTTCTTAAAAAGCTTTTTTAAGGTACCCAACAACCTCAACTCCTCCTTAATCTACTAAAAGGGAAGAAAAGGGTTTGTCTAAGAACTATAATTAAGAGAACATTAAAAGTTAAGCGTGCCTAAAAACGCAATTATGAAATCTTTTGAGAGCTCTTTACGCAAAAGCAATCATAAAAATATAATAAACAAGCAAACCTAATCCAACACCCAACCAACCAAACCACTTGCCCAATCATGATGAGGTAGGAGCCACAAACCTTTATGCTTTTAATGCCACAAAAAGTTGTTTGATGATAAAGGAAAGCAAAAAGAGAGGGAAATATTAGTGGAAGATAAAGAGAAACAAAATAAAAAACAGTGATATATTAGAATCAGAGAAGCTGTTCACATAAGCTTTGATGTATGTGGCCGTTTGGCTAAGATTCCTCTCATTGCTAAAGATCCAACTCTTCTTTGGATGCTTCTTATGCTGAAATATTCTCCCTCTTCTTCCTCTTAGCTCAGCTTTTTGGAAGAGAGAGAGATAGAGAGAGAGATGCCTCTTTTTGAATAGGGTTGAAGAATTTGCAGCCTTTCGGTGGTGAAAAGGGTTTGGGTAGCTGCTGACTTTGATCTGCACCTAATCAATGTTCAGGGATTGTGCCTCTATGGTTCAACCAAAAGCTACTTTATGATAACTTTTGATATGGGCCATTGTTTTTTTTTGCTTGGGGTCCCTTTGTGGCTTTTTTATTGCTTGGTACATTGAATGATCAGTAATGTTAGTTAACTTGAATATAAATGTAGAACACCTTTGGGAACTCCTCATTACGGATTTGAATGTCCTCTGCTAGGCCTCTCTTTTTCAATGGGGCAAAACAAGTGTGGGTCTAATGTTGGTGGGTAGCCTCGCTAGGTTCCGCCGATGGATTAGTTATGCCGCCACGCGCTCCCTTTAGAGTGGCAGCGGGTAGATACCCATGTTTCAAAAAAAAAAAAAGTTTCTTTTATTTTATTCCATATTTTTTGATAGATTGATGAAGGTTTTGAGCCCAATGATTAAATTTGAGGAAAAAAAATAGAGATTTGATTTAGTTAAAATAATTCTACTAACGTAAGTCGTATATTACAAATGATGTACTTTTATGTAATTGAATAATGCATTAATATAATGCAATAGTCATGGAATATACAAGGTGGAATTAGAAGGAGCTTTA